GCCAAAAAGTGTCCCTTATCTGATTTTTTTGTTTTCGATACCCTCGTAAACTGAGGTCCCCTGTATAAAAAAAAGAGCGCATTTTTTTCCGTCAGTAAGATACCCATAGTTATTTTTTAAGGGGACCTATATTACTCTGACTTTTGTTTTATTTAAAACCGGAAAAAACTTTTTTTAAATTTGTTTTTTTAAAACCCCCCCGCAATTTTAATTTTTTTAGTCCTGTTTAGCTTTTTTTTACCCCTTTTTAACGTCCCTCTTTAAAGCTAAAAACAGTACATACTGAATTTATTTAAAATGACCCTCACAAACTTTTTATACGCCCCATAAATTGCAAAGCAGTAGTTTAGTATTTTTAAATGACTGAGTATACTGGTACCTACTTAAAACTAAAAAGGGAAACAAACCCTTTAAAACAAATGAGATCATAAAATGTTTCTTTAATAATTTAAAAATTTTTTTTCCCTTTTTGATTTGAAATAAAATTTTTACCCGAAAGGAAGTTTTAAAGTTTAGGGTTTTAGTAACAATGGGGAAAAAAAAACAATATCCTTAAGAAAAAAAAAATTAAAAAATCATGGCTGGAATAATTCATAACTAATAATAACTTTGGGAAGGGGAAAAATTTGATAACTCCCTTTTTTGGGCTGTTTCCCGGGTTTGACTTTATATTGGTGCAAGACCAACTGAAATATTGTTTAAAAATTTTCTTTCCCCCCGTTGGTTTTGGGTTAAATTTTGACCTATATACTGTACAATTTAAAAAACTGACCCTTTTTACCTGCAAAAATTTGGGGATGAGGGTGAGGGGGAACATGTTTCTAAACCCCCGTACAGTATAAATTTTTGGCACCCACCCAACTCACCTGGATTGTGAGGTCCTGCCTAAACTGCAGCATCTGCGGGTTTCTGCAAAAACCCTTAAGGATTATGGGTATCCCCAAAAAATCTTCGGGGTTTTTTGGGGGGTAGTTTTTCAATAAATTTGTTTGTTTCCTGAATTTTAAAACCTTCTCTTGTTTCTGCATTAGTTTATATAATTTTTTATATTTTATAACTAAAATTCAATAGCAAAATCCTAAAAATAATCCCGAAATTTAATTTAAAATTTTCCCCCCAAGGGGGGAAATTTTTTAAACTAAATTTTTCACTCGTGTTTGCTTTTTTTTTTTAAACTGGGATGTATAAAATGAAAGTTAAAACCAAAACTGATTAGGAATAACAATTTTAAATAACAACAAAAAAAAAAAAGCACAATACCATGACTGGAACAATACACAAATAACCTGCACATAGAAGAGAGGAGCTTACGACGACGTATGAATCTTAGTCCTGGCTTCATCTCTGTAGATGCCTTCCTCTCTCACTACATTGTAAAATGCTCCAAACTTCAGAACACTCGTGAGGAGCAGGGGTGCAGTGGGGACAATAAGGGAACACTGTATCAACATCTGGGATCCCAGACTTTTCAACATCTTACCAGAAGATATCAGAAACACTGCTGGAACAAGTATAGAAGCCTTCAAGAGGAAACTGGACAAGTATCTTCACCAAATACCAGATTAACCAGGCTGTGATAGATATGTGGGGCAGCGACCTCCAGCAGCAACAGCCTGGTTGACCAGGCAAGCACCAGACGAGCCTGGCCCATGGCCGGGCTCAGAGAATAGATAAACTCTCGAAACTCTTCAAAGGTATATACTGGAACCTGATTCCTCCTTTTTTCTTCTTCTCCCTCTTCCTCTTTCCTCTTTCTCCTTTGGGTTGTCTTTCTTCTGCCCTGTATATTTGTTCCTTCTTTATTTATTTATTTGTTTTTCACCCCCTCGATGTTCTTGCTCTTACCCTCTGTGGGCACCTAGCTCCCTTGCAGCGTTCCTCTTTCTTAGTATTTGACTGGCCCCTCCTACTCTTACTACCTTCCCATACTACTTCCTTCCCTCCACTACTACTACTACTACTACCACTTCTTGCCTATATATACCCATCCTGCTCTCCTTTTTGTTAGTGTGACTTTGTAAATGGTCCCAAGTGGGACTGAAACGTCGTCATGAGCTCTCTTCTATGTGCGGGTTATTTGTGTAACAACAATTTTTACAAACACTAGTTATTGTAAAACCTTAGAGTTTTAACAGACCGCATGAATGAAGCTACCATAATAAGGAAGTTCACAGCTGACCTAGAGATTGTTGACTGGCCTACAGAATTCTCCAAGGCCAATGGTATTGATGACTGGACAGACATTTTTCTTAACAAATTACTTAGACTATACAACAAACATTGTCCTATAAAAACGAAACAGATCACAAACAAACGGCTTGGTTGCCCATGGCTAACCAGCACCATTCTGAAATCCATTGACAAGAAACACCAATATGAAAAGCAATATAGACAGGGCTTAATACACAAAGATATTCTTAAACACTATTCATCAGTTCTCACCAAAGTAATAAAGAAAGCCAAACAACTATACTACTCCAGTAGATTCACAGACACTAGAGGAAAATATAAAAAGACCTGGAAAACACTCTCTCAGATTCTAGGGACCCACAAACTGAAAAAAAACCAAGAATATTGTCCTAACTAAACCTAATGAAACACCACTACATCCCACTGACACAGCTAACAAGATAAACAACTTCTTTTCAACCATAGTATCTAATCTCGCCAATAAAATCCCACATACCAATGCCCATGCCGGGGACTACCTAGATGGGAATTTCCCAAATTCCTTCTATCTTGCACCAACTGAGCCCTCGGAAGTCACCGAATTATAAAGTCACTTAAAAACAACTCAGGGAATCTGTCTAATGTCCCACCATTACTGTACAAGCGAGTGGCCCATTTCCTTTTGCATGCTATTTCATTACTTTTTAACAAGTCACTAGAAACTAGCACCTTCCCGAAACTACTCAAGATAGCAAGGGTTACACCAATACATAAAGGTGGTGACCCTACAGACTTAAACAACTATAGGCCAATATCAAACTTACCATTGCTATCCAAAATCTTTGAGAAACTCGTGCACAGGAGACTATATTCATTTGTAACAGCACAAAACATACTCAACCCCTGCCAATTTGGATTTAGGAAAAATAAAAGCACTATTGATGCAATCATAAAAATGCTAGATCTGCTTTCACAGCATTGGAAAATAAGGAATATCCACTAGGAATTTTATTGACCTAAGAAAGCTTTTGACACAGTAGACCACGACATCCTACTCCACAAACTTGACCATTACGGTATAAGAGGCCATGTGCTTGCTTATTTCAAATCTTACCTTACTAATAGGTATCAGTATGTTACCAATTTAAGACACGCATCAACAACACAGTCACTTGATACTGGAGTTCCGCAGGGAGTGTCCTTGGTCCCCTGCTCTTCCTCATATACATCAATGATCTTCCAAACGTATCCCAACACCTGAAACCCATTCTCTTTGCTGATGACACGACTGTATGTCATCTCTCACCCTAATCTTGCCACCCTCAACACCATTGTTAACGAGGAGCTGATCAAAATATCGACTTGGATGACAGCCAATAAACTTACGCTTAACACTGACAAAACCTACTATATTATGTTTGGTAGCAGAGCAGGAGATGCACAAATTAACATTAAGATCGACAACACTCTAATTACCAGACATAATGAGGGCAAATTCCTAGGTCTATACCTTGACAACAACCTGAATTTCAGCACCCATATCCAACACATAACCAAAAAAGTATCCAAAACAGTTGGGATCCTCTCCAAGATACGATACTACGTGCCGTAAAATGCCCTTCTCACACTATACCACTCACTTATTTATCCATACCTCACCTATGCTATTTGTGCTTGGGGATCAACTGCAGCAACACACCTAAAGCCAATAATAACCCAACAAAAAGCTGCAGTAAGAATAATCACTAAATCCCATCCCTGACAACACACCCCCCCACTCTTCATAGATCTAAACTTACTCACTGTTCAGTACTTCCACACTTACTACTGTTCAGTCTACATCTACAGGACCTTAAACTCCATTTTCAACCTTGACCTAAAACACTTTCTTGATAGTTGTGACAGAACCCACGGGCATAACACCAGACACAAACATCTCTACGACATTTCCCGTGTCCGACTAAACCTTTACAAAAATTCAATGCATGTCAAAGGCCCTAAAATCTGGAACACCCTACCTGAGAACTCTAGAACTGCAGACACATTCATCACCTTCAAAACTACCATTAGAAAACATCTTATCTCCCTGATACACCCCATCAACTAACTACACGAATACCCACCTGGTGGTTCACACTTACACTCACTCACCCATTTGACCATAAACGAAATATTAATCTCAATCTTAAAAAAATGAAACCTATGATACTCCAAAACTGAAACTATGTACTGTGCCAAAACAAAAGCATTCACATTGCTAAACTCACAAACTAGTATTTAGTCACTTAGCCATAATACCAACTTACCTCATAATTTGTAATATTTTAAAATAAAGAATTAAACTAAGTCTGCCCAAAATGCCTAGCCATGCTAGGCGTTCTAGTGGTACACTCTGTAATCATTAATTAACTACATGTAAACCACACAACAACCAAATTCTGTAAATTCAACATTGTAATCTTTATAGAGAATAAACTTTGAATTTGAATTTGAATTATCAGTTTCAAATCTCTGTGGTTGATGGGTGTATGGTTGATGGACACTGATGAACCAAGTTACAGAACCACATTAGGCAACAAATCACTGTCCCAGCTTAAACTAGGGCAGTGGCTGATTACCAACTGTATTTGGTAGTTGCTTAAAGTTGGGCAGTGCTTCATTACTATCTGTATATGGTAACTGGTGGAAGCTGCAGCAGTGATTCATTACTATCTCTATATGCATTCAAGTGTCATCCATTCCTGTATAATCTCTCATGTGGAAATAACCTTGAATTTGAATTTGAAACTGTACTGGACTAAACAATTGACCTATTCAAACAGAGAATGTAGATGAAGACTAATAAGCATTGTATCCACAGGTACCTGCATGCAGCATACACCCACCCAGTGTTTGTCAGAACCTGCCCGTGTGACCAAGAAATTATTCTTCATTGGCACGATCGACCAGAGACACCTAAACTATCACATAAAAAACACTCTGTCATTGCTAAGGAGAAGCCAAAGTATTCATTTGATGTACCTGTCCATGCTTCTGTGGTAACTGTAGTAGATGAATAAATTATTTTAAGATGATAAGTTAATGCATTTTTAAAGTCATGGCCTCTAAGGGGCAAGGAGGACAGCTGCCTCCTACCTAGAATTTTGAAGCAATAAAGACTGTTTCCATGTAACAATAATTAGCATTAGCATATACTGATATGCTCTTATAATAAATTAAAGCCAACCAGTGGCATCAACCAACAGTAGTATTAGGCTATTTATGCTTATAAATTAGGCCTATACATCTAGGAACTTAACCCTTTCAGGGTCGGCAGGCCCTCTCCTAAACTTGTTCTCAGGGTCGGAAATTTTTCAAAAAAAAAAAAAAAAAAAAAAAAAACTCATGAAATGATAGAGAATCTTTTCCTGATCATAATGACACCAAAAGTATGAAATTTGATGGAAAACTTACGGAATTATGCTCTTGTGAAGTTAGCAGTTTCGACGATGTTGACGCATCGGCGATTTCGCCCATTTTGAGCCCTATTTTCGGCCAATTCCAACGTACCAGTCGACAAAAATCATAACTATTTCGCTAGAACTCCATTTTTTCTATCGAATGCGTACAAGAAACCACCCATTTACCGATTTCAACTATTCAATAAAGTGGTTCAAAATTGGCAATTTTGCCAATTTCATAAATTTCAAAAGATGCCAATTTCTAAATAGGGTCCGGAATAAACAAGGCAGACATTCCTGGCACTAAAATAACATTTCCTCTGTTCATTAGTCACGTCCCCAGGCCTCTGTTACATCTCTTTTGCTTTCCACTATGAAATTTTATTCTCACAAAAATAGAAGATTTACTGTTATGCAGACTACTGCATTAGTGTAGAAATGGTGTAGAAATAGTATAAATAATATCAGCACACTTGTGAAAGAATATTAGACTCACCAGTTGACGTGTATTGGACACATGGCTTGATTTATTTACTTTTGAACTTTGGCAAAAATCGAACATTTCTGCTACTTTGAGCTCAATTTCAAGGTACTTTTCATTGTGAAACCAATAAAAATCATGTCAATTTTCGTAATATGTCTTCCATTCTATAAAATGAGACCAGGAATACTAGAATACAACCATAAATACCATACGAAAATACACTGCAAAGTCGCTGTTTTAAACCAAAAACATGGTTGGAGTTTTTTTTTTCTCATTATGCACTGTGTGCTGCAGGATTTTTTATACTGTGCACACTGACCACATAGACCCATTCTTTCATATATAGACCTACCAGCTTTCTCTCGCTAGATTTGAAGGCGCTAGAATTTACGTGTATTAGTATGGCACTAACCCTGGCGTGCAAGCCGTACTAGTACGGCACCAACCCTGAAAGGGTTAAATAATGTAAACTGACTGATGGACTATTTTATTTTTAGCATCCATCCCCTGCTCTGCTTGCGAATTTGCTCAGGCTAGAGGCCAGAGTGTAGGCAGAATACTTGTGTGATGAGCTATGTATGTGTACAACATTATGTTTGAGCTTCAACTGAATCTGACTGATCTCTCTTATTATCTTGTATGATTAAAGTAAAATTAATTTTTGTATATTGTAATTAGAAAAGAAGAGCTTAGCTGTAATTCTCCAAATGAAATTATACTCACCAGTAAAATACCAGATGCATTATTATTATAAAACATAAAATTAAAGTTCAATAAATAAAAGAGAGAGAGAGAGAGAGAGAGAAAGAGAGAAGAGAGAGAGGAGAAGAGAGAGAGAGAGAGAGAAGAGTGAGAGAGAAGAGTGTGTGTATACTCACCTAATTGTGGTTGCAGGGGTCGAGACTCAGCTCCTGTGTGTGTGTGTGTGTGTGTGTGTGTGTGTGTGTGTGTGTGTGTGTGTGTGTGTGTGTGTGTGTGTGTGTGTGTGTATGTGTGGTATGTGTGTATATGTTTGTGTGTGTGTGTGAGTTGTTGTGTGTTGTGTGTGTGTGTGTGTGTGTGTGTGTGTGTGTTGTGTGTGTGTGTACTCACCTAGTTGAGGTTGCAGGTGTCGAGTCCATGCTCCTGGCCCTGCCTCTTCACTGGTCGCCACTAGGTCACTCTCCCTGAACCGTGAGCTTTATCGTACCTCTGCTTAAAGCTATGTATGGATCCTGCCTCCACTACATCTCTTCCCAAACTATTCCACTTCCTGACTACTCTGTGGCTGAAGAAATACTTCCTAACATCCCTGTGATTCATCTGTGTCTTCAACTTCCAACTGTGTCCCCTTGTTGCTGTGTCCAGTCTCTGGAACATCCTGTCTTTGTCCACCTTGTCAATTCCTCTCAGTATTTTGTAAGTCGTTATCATGTCCCCCCTATCTCTCCTGTCCTCCAGTGTCGTCAGGTTGATTTCCCTTAACCTCTCCTCGTAGGATATACCTCTTAGCTCTGGGACTAGTCTTGTGGCAAACCTTTGCACTTTCTCTAGTTTCTTTACATGCTTGGCTAGGTGTGGGTTCCAAACTGGTGCTGCATACTCCAATATGGGCCTAACGTACACGGTGTACAGGGTCCTGAACGACTCCTTATTAAGATGTCGGAATGCTGTTCTGAGGTTTGCCAGGCGCCCATATGCTGCAGCAGTTATTTGGTTGATGTACGCTTCAGGAGATGTGCCTGGTGTTATACTCACCCCAAGATCTTTTTCCTTGAGTGAGGTTTGTAGTCTCTGGCCCCCTAGACTGTACTCCGTCTGTGGTCTTCTTTGCCCTTCCCCAATCTTCATGAGTTTGCACTTGGTGGGACTGAACTCCAGGAGCCAATTGCTGGACCAGGTCTGCAGCCTGTCCGGATCCCTTTGTAGTTCTGCCTGGTCTTCGATGAATGAATTCTTCTCATCAACTTCACGTCATCTGCAAACAGGGACACCTCAGAGTTTATTCCTTCTGTCATGTCGTTCACATATACCAGAAACAGCACTGGTCCTAGGACTGACCCCTGTGGGACCCCGCTGGTCACAGGTGCCCACTCTGACACCTCGCCACGTACCATTACTCGCTGCTGTCTTCCTGACAAATATTCCCTGATCCATTGTAGTGCCTTCCCTGTTATCCCTGCTTGGTCCTCCAGTTTTTGCACTAATCTCTTGTGTGGTACTGTGTCAAATGCCTTCTTGCAGTCCAAGAAAATGCAATCCACCCACCCCTCTCTCTCTTGTCTTACTGCTGTCACCTTGTCATAGAACTCCAGTAGGTTTGTGACACAGGATTTCCCGTCCCTGAAACCATGTTGGGTGCTGTTGATGAGATCATTCCTTTCTAGGTGTTCCACCACTCTTCTCCTGACAATCTTCTCCATGACTTTGCATACTATACATGTCAGTGACACTGGTCTGTAGTTTAGTGCTTCATGTCTGTCTCCTTTTTTAAAGATTGGGACTACATTTGCTGTCTTCCATGCCTCAGGTAATCTCCCTGTTTTGATAGATGTATTGAATATTGTTGTTAGAGGTACACATAGCACCTCTGCTCCCTCTCTCAGGACACATGGAGAGATGCTATCTGGCCCCATTGCCTTTGAGGTATCTAGCTCACTCAGAAGCCTCTTCACTTCTTCCTTGGTTGTGTGTACCGTGTCCAGCACCTGGTGATGTGCCACACCTCTCCGTCCCTCTGGAGCCCCTTCTGTCTCCTCTGTGAACACTTCTTTGAATCTCTTGAGTTCCTCACATACTTCCCGGTCATTTCTTGTTGTCTCTCCTCCTTCCTTCCTTAGCCTGATTACCTGGTCCTTGACTGTTGTTTTCCTCCTGATGTGGCTGTATAACAGCTTCAGGTCAGATTTGGCTTTCGCTGCTATGTCGTTTTCATATTGTCGTTGGGCCTCGCTTCTTATCTGTGCATATTCGTTTCTGGCTCTACGACTGTTCTCCTTATTCTCCTGGGTCCTTTGCCTTCTATATTGGTTTTTGCCTCCTTGCACCTTTGGGTGAACCATGGGCTCACCCTGGCTTTTCTGTATTGGTTTTTGCCTCCTTGCACCTTTGGCTGAACCACGGGCTCATCCTGGCTTTTTCATTATTGCTGTTTCCCTTGGGTACAAACCTCTCCTCAGCCTCCTTGCACATTGTTGCTACATATTCCATCATCTCATTAACTGGCTTCCCTGCCAGTTCTCTGTCCCACTGAACCTCGTTCAGGAAGTTCCTCATTCCCGTGTAGTCCCCTTTCCTGTAGCTTGGTTTCATTTGTCCTGGCCTTCCTGCTTCCCCCTCCACTTGTAGCTCTACTGTATATTCGAAGCTCAAAACCACATGATCGCTGGCCCCAAGGGGTATTTCATATGTGATGTCCTCAATATCTGCACTGCTCAAGGTGAATACTAAGTCCAGTCTTGCTGCCTCGTCCTCTCCTCTCTCTCTTGTAGTGTCCCTTACGTGTTGGTACATGAAGTTTTCCAGTACCACCTCCATCATCTTAGCCCTCCATGTATCTTGGCCCCCATGTGGCTCCAAGTTCTCCCAGTCGATCTCCTTGTGGTTAAAGTTGCTCATGATCAGGAGCTTTGCCCTGCATGCATGAGCTCTTCTGGCCACTGAAGCCAGTGTGACAACCATCGCTCTATTGCTCTCGTCATACTCATGCCCTGGTCTCCTGCTGTTCTGTGGTGGGTTATACATCACTGCAATTACCACCTTGGGACCTCCAGAGTGAAGCGTTCCCGCTATGTAATCACTTTCTTCTCCGCTGTCTCCTCTCTCCAGCTCATCAAAATTCCATCGGTGTTCGATCAGCAGTGCCACTCCTCCACCCCCCCTGTTCCTTCTGTCTTTCCTCAGGATCTGGTATCCCGTGGAAAGATGGCATCTGTTATCATATCTGTAAGCTTGGTTTCTGTGAGCGCTATGATGTCTGGTGATGTCTCTTTGACTCTTTCGTGCCACTCCTCCCACTTGTTTGTTATTCCATCAGCGTTTGTGTACCATACCTTCAGTTTCCTTTCCAATATGTGGTTTGGGGGGCCTGTAGGGGTGGGAGACCTGGTAGCATACTGTGGGATTCTATGATTGGGGGTTGGGTGGAAGCTGTGGGTATGGATTGTAGTGTGTTGGGATGGTGTGATAGGTTGTGGGGTTCTGAGGATAGTTGTGTGTGTGCTTGCCCTTGCTTCTCTGTTCTGCTCTGACTGACCTCTGCTGATTCCATCCTTGTTTCCTTTCCTATCTTCTTTCACTTTTTTGTCCTCTCCCTCAGCTGCTGCCTCTCTGTTTGTGTTCTGTCTCTGTCTAGGAACACCTTCTTGTACTCTTCTGAGTTTTTCAACCTTGGTTTCTCTTGGAGGATCGTGTTCCTCACTGTTTCTGTCCTGCGAATCAGCTTGATCAGTCGGTTTCTCCCCTTCATGTACCCCCCTATTCTCTGAAAATTTACAATCTCGTCCATGTCTTCCCCTATTTCCGTGATGATTTTCCCAATCTCCTTTCTTTCTTCCTGCCGTCTTTCAGTGTGTGTCTTTTCCTCTCTCTCCCCAAAGCCCATGGATAAACACTGATTTTGCCCTTTCCTCCTTCCATTGCCTCTCCCTCTGTGACTCTGGTTCCTGTCTGTATATGGTCATTTTCTCCCTTGATTTTTCCAGTGGCTCTTGGTAGCATGGTTGTGCCTCAGCATTCGACTTATCTCCCTCTCTATTTGCACCCAGCTGCTCTTTCCTTTTACTCCCTGACCCTTCTTTGCAGGTTGATATGACCTTAGCATAATTCATTTCTCCTTCCTTCCTGTTCATCCTCTCAGCTTCATATTCTGTGTCTTCTCTGGTCACTGCCCCTGAGACTTGCTTCAGCCTGTTTACCTCAAATTCTAGGACCCTTACCCTGTCTACTGCAGTTTCGACTTGTGCCTCCCATTTCTTCGTCTCCTTCTCCAACCTCTTTTCCCATTTCGCAGAGAGCTCTTTCTCCATTTTTTCAGAAAGCTCTCCTAATTTTCTCTCCCATTCTTGCTCCATCCTTTTCCACTGCTCCTCCATCCATTCCTCCCTACCAATACCATTGTCATCTGATCCCTGATTCCTACAAGTCCCAAGCATTTTTTTTTATAGTAAGGAAAGGAAAGAGAGAGAGAGAGAGAGAGAGAGAGAGAGAGAGAGAGAGAGAGAGAGAGAGAGAGAGAGAGAGAGAGAGAGAGAGAGAGAGAGAGAGGAAAGGTAGGAGAGAGAGGGGAGAGTGAAAAGGAAAAGGGGGAGAGAGTGAGAGAAAGAGAGGAGAGAAGGGAAAGATAGGAGGAGAGAAGGGAGAGAGTGAGAAGGGAAAAGAAGAGACAGAGAGAGAGAGAGAGAGAGAGAGAGAGAGAGAGAGAGAGAGAGAGAGAGAGGAAGAGAGAGAGGAGAGAGAGAGAGAAGAGAGAGAGAGGAAGAGAGAGAGGAAGAGAGAAAAGAGAGAAGGAGAGAGAGGAAAGAGAGAGGAAAGAGAGAGAGAGGAAGAGAGGAGAGAGAAAAGAGAGAGAAGAAGAGAGAGAGAAGAGAGAGAGAGGAAGAGAGAAAGGAGAGAAGAGAGAGGAAAAGAGAAGGAAGAGAAGAGGAGAGAGGAAAATAGAGAGAAGAGAGAGAAGAGGATAGAGAGAGAGAGAGAAGAGGAAGAGAAGAGTAGAAAAAGAGAAGAAAGAGAGAGAAGAGAAAGAGAGAGAAAGAATAGAGAGAGAGAGAAGAATAGAGAGAGAGAAGAATAGAGAGAGAGAGGAAGAGAGGAAGAGAGGAAAAGAGACA